CAAAACAACAGCAAACAGCTCGAGCTCTCTGCCAGATCTTCCATCACACACACACATTACAATGACTGTCATTAACTAAAGAAATATTAATACATCATATTACGCTTAACCAATCAATAGTTTAAAAATGTAATCTTGTGGAGAAAAAGTACATAGTATATTTATTATATTTATTTGTGTCTAATTAATCATGTAATATAAAATATTTTAATATAAATGACAAAACTGTATCTAGAGTTATATCTAAAACTTATAATAACTTTCAGTGATATTATATTATTATGTAGAACCATCATGTTATGAAGAAAAATGTATGCTGTATATTTATTTATTAATGTTTATATTAAATATTACTTAACTTAATATATAGTATAAAATAATATTTTAATATATTGTTTCCTAAAATTATTAAATCAAAAATGTGCATGATAATAATTTTCATTGATATAAACATTATTACATCATATTATGATATGATGATCATATGAGCTTGTGCATCACATTGATTTAATTTTTATGCTAAAAGTACATCGTATATGTATTAAATGTATTAGTGTTTATATTAAATGTTTAATGCCAATCAAAATAATATTTTAATTTACAAATGAAGGTCATGTTATTTTTGTTAAATTATTTTAATGTAATATTTAATATTAATTATTTAATAATTTTATATAAATTATGCATCATGTTTTTTTATCTTATACCTATAAGTATTATATATATATACAATTTTAATGTATTAACTAAGTATATCTTAAAATATTATATATACAATTTATAATATATAAATTTTATCCCAAAAATTAAATTCTAAATTATAGATGGAATTTTGCATGATATTCTTTCATTTTTTTATGTGTTTTTATTATTATAACACAGCAGCTCAAATGTGTGAATGTTTCTGTTTGCAGGTGAAGAATGACTACATGCTGGAGATTGCGGATCAGGTGGAGCAGGAGATGGCGCTGAAGCTGGGGTGTCTTGAGATCAGGTGCGCTCATCGTTCATCGTCCCGTCAGACTGTGAGACGATCGTGCTGATTTCTGCTGTTCTCTTTTCCAGGAGATTCTACAGAGAGATGAGAGGAAACGCTCTGGATAAAAAATCCAACTATGAACTGCTAGAGTAAGTATTC